CTCCTCCCTCAGCCTCCTGAGTAACTAGGACTACAGGGACGCACCACCATGCCTGTCTAAATTTTTTAATTTATAGAGATGGAGTCTCTCTCTGTGTGTCACCCAGGTTGCTGTCAAACTCCTGGGCTCAAGCAGTCCTCCCTCCTCGGCCTCCAAAAGTGCTGGGATTACAGGTGTGAGCCACCATGCCATTCAGCCATTCAGCAGTTTTCGAGGCAGCCACTCCCAGGACTGTGCTCAGCAGGGCTGCTTTCCCCTTCCTCCAGGGGAAGAGTCCACCCGGTGGTCAGGACCTCGCCTTCTCATGCCCACTCAGATGCACCACCTTGATCTGAGCTCTTTGAGCAGCTCTTTGAGCCTCAGATGTGGCGCTTCCAGATGCTGCTGTAATTGTTTGCACAGGTCAGCACGGTGATATGAGACAGGCTGAGGACCTCATCTCATTTATTTTTTATTTTACCCAGAGCATCAAACACGGTGTCTTACAGAACGTAGGAATCACTAAATGTTTGTTAACATGAGTGCTTTAGTTACGTAAGATGAACCAGTCAAAATGGAAATGACAAGAGATTTTTCAGGGGTCCTACAAATAGAAGGAAAACATTTAAAAATTGGATCGCCAAGAGAAATTGATTGTCAGGAAAGGAAAGGCAAGAGGAAGAGGTTATGGGCTCCCTTGCTGGAATTCCTCTGGGTCACTCTATTTAGAGGACCTCTCCAGAACAAACCCACCAAAGGCAGTAATCAGATACGATGCTGTTTATAGAATTGTCCATGAAAGACCCACAGCATCAAAACACCCTTGGTTCGTCCTGACGATCATTGTTTCAAAGCTGAATTTGATATATGATATCCTCCTCGGACCCTATCCAAAGGGATTTAGTTACTGAGGTGCCAGAAGGACCTAGTGAGATTCTGGTGTGCGAAGGAACCCCGCAAATAACTATCTGTGTGCCTATGTGGGTGGGCCCTGGGGGCGGCCTCTGGGGTTGGGTGTGCTGCTGTGTACAGGGAGCGTGGGGACAGGCACAGCACAAGTTGGCCGAGGTCTGGTGGGGAAGCAGTGGCACGGAGGCGGCTCTCAACTGTGAGATGCCTGTAGCCTCGTTCAGGACAGTCGGGCACTTCTGGGGACTTGGTGTCACAAGCATTGCTTTTGTGCTGCATGCAGGTTATCTCATTCATTCCTCACTTCAGCCTTTGAGATGGGAGTTACTCTGCCTGGTTTACAGAATGGGAAACAGGGCCAGAAAAGTTCAATAACTGCACATATCATGTACCCACTAAGTATCAGGGCTGGACATCGAGCCCAGGACTTGCTCTAAAACCAGTGCTGTTTCTGCGGTTCACAATCCAAGAAGTATTTGGGAGAAGGAATCAGCCAGGCGTAGGACTGAACTGGAATGCTTACATGTGAACTCTGGTAGCAGCCTGAGAAATAATGAGAACTCAGATTGCCAGTGGGAGTGTGGATTGTTATAATCACGTTTAAAAAGCTTGAAGTTGTCTTCTAAACTTGAATATGCTCTCAGCAACCCAGCGATAACCCAACAGCCCACCAACTCCATCCTGAGTGTCCTTGACAGACTCTGACACCTGTGGGCTAGGGGCTAATGCACAGAAATGCTCATAGCACAATTGTTCAAATAGGTTTAAAAATAATAATTGAAGCCGGGTGCAGTGGCTCACGCCTGTAATCCCAACACTTTGGGAGGCCGAGGCAGGTGGATCACGAGGTCAGGAGATCGAGACCATGGTGAAACCTCATCTCTACTAAAAATACAAAAAATTAGCTGGGCGTGGTGGCGGGAGCCTGTAGTCCCAGCTACTCGGGAGGCTGAGGCAGGAGAATGGCGTGAACCCGGGAGGTGGAGCTTGCAGTGAGTCAAGAACGCACCACTGCACTCCAGCCTGGGCGACAGAGCGAGACTCCGTCTCACAAAAAAAATAAAATAAAATAATAATAATAATTGAAATATCCATCAACAAGAAAGTGAATAAATTGTGGAATACAGTAAGTCCTCATTTAATGTCATTGATAGGTTCTTGGAAGCTGCGACTTTAGCAGAGCAACGTATAACAAAACCAGTGTTTTTCCCTCACCAATGTTGTTGAAGGAAATGATGTTTATCTGAGGACCTGCTGTATGTCATTTCGCTTACAGTTGTAGTTTCCAAGAACCTGTGGGCGCTGAGTAGGATGTACTGTACCATACAGCAGTAGAAACGAATTAGCGTGACAGCTTCTTTTTATCAACAAGGATAAATCTGAGAAACATAGTGTTAAGTAAAAAAAAGCAAGTTGCGAAAGTGTACAATTAGCATCATACATTTTAATAAAAATGAAAGATAAACAATTCTAAATTATGTTGTCTTTAGAGATACATAGGTATGTGATTAAACCAAAAAAAAAGTGAGGAAATGATAAAGGCAAAATGCAATCCAATGGTTCCATCTGGGGCACAAGGGGGCAGGAAGTGTTAGGAACACAAGAGACCATCGGTTGGATGACTGATGATTTCTTTCCTAAGTTTGGGGATGGGTTCCCAGGCGTACCTTTCCTTGCTAGGCTTTATAACTGCATGGATATATGTACATATACACAGTTGTGCACTGCATAACAACATTTCAGTCACTGACGGACTGCATGTATGACAGTGGTCACAGAAGATTATAATGGAGCTGAAAAACTTCCCATCAGCTGGTGTCTTAGCACCACACATTACGTTTCCTATGTTTAGGTGTACAAACACTCATTATGTTACAGGTGCCTACAGTGTTAAGTATAGTCACATGGAGTACAGGTTTGGAGTCCAGGGGCAATAGGCTAGACTAAATTTGTCCAACCCATGGCCCAACACAAATTTGTAAACTTTCTTGAAACATGAGATTTTGGCCGGGCGTAGTGGCTCATGCCTGTAATCCCAACACTTTGGGAGGCCGAGGCGGATGGATCACAAGGTCAGGAGATCGAGACCATCCTGGCTAACACGGTAAAACCCCATCTCTACTAAAAATACAAAAAATTAGACAGGCGTGGTGGCGGACGCCTGTAGTCCCAGCTACTCAGGAAGCTGAGGCAGGAGAATGGCGTGAACCCGGGAGGCAGAGCTTGCAGTGAGCCGAGATGGCGCCACTGCACTCCAGCCTGGGCAACATAGCAAGACTCCGTCTCAAAAAAAAAAAGATTTTTTGGCCGAGCGTGGTAGCTCATGCCTGTAATCCCAGCACTTTAGGAGGCCAAAGCAGGTGGATCACTTGAGGTTAGGGGTTCAAGACCAGCCTCGCCAACATGGTAAAAACCCATCTCTACTAAAAATACAGAATTATCTGGGCATGGTGGTGCACACCTGTAATGCCAGCTACTTGGGAGGCTGAGGCAGGAGAATCACTTGAACCCAAGAGGCAGAGGTTCCATTGCATTGAGCCCAGAGTGCACCATTGTACTCCGGCCTGGCCAACAAGATCAAAGCTCTGTCTCAAAACAAAAAGAGGGTTTTTTTGTGATTATTATTATTTTTAGCTCATCAGCTATCGTTAGTGTATTTTATGTGTGGCCCAAGACAGTTCCTCTTCCAATATGGCCCAGGGAAGCCAAAAGATTGAACGTCGCTGGGCTAGACTATCTGGGTGCGTCATAGGCCGTGCCATCTAGGTTTGTGTAAGTACACTCTATGATGTTCACACAACGGAGACATTGCCTAATGACAGATCTCTCAAACATCCCCGTCACTAAGTGACCCGTGACTCTCTATATAGCATATTCTTTTGTTTGTGTCAGATATTTCATAATTTCAGAAAGATAAAATATCAAGCTTGGGGACAGAAAGGGACATTGGTGCCTCTGATGGGTTTAGAGAAATTTTCAAAGGGCGACACTATAGATGGGTTGCGTGAAGCTCATTCATTCAGGATGTGGAGTGAGCACAGCAATCAGATGTCAGAGCAACAGAATCAGAGCAGGAAAGGATGAGCAGACCTGGATTCTTCACCTTCTGCCTCACTTTCCTCTCCTCCAAAACGAGAGTTGTAATACAGTCATGTGTCAATTAACGACAGGGATATATTCTGAGAAATGCATTGTTAGGTGACATCTTTGTTGCGTGAACAGCATAGAGTGTACTGACAAACGTAGGAGGTAGGTACAACCTACTTCACACCTGGGCTAAATGGTACAGCAAATTGCTCCTGGGCTACAGACCTGCACCACTTGTGACTGCACTGAATACTTTAGGCCGCTGTAGCACCAAGGTAAGTATTAGTATGTCTAAACATAGAAAAGGTGCCATAAAAATATGGTATTATGATCTTATGGGACCACTGTTGTATTTGCGGTCCATCATTGACTAAAATGGCTTATTGTTGTTTTTGAAGCAGAGTCTTGCTCTGTCACCCAGGTTGGAGTACAGTGGCATGATCTTAGCTCACTGCAACCTCTGCCTCCCAGGTTCAAGTGATTCTCCTGCCTCAGCCTCCCGAGTAGCTGGGACTACAGGCATGCGCCACCACACCCAGCTAATTTTTGTATTTTTAGTAGAGGCATGGTTTCACCATGTTGGCCAGGCTGGTCTAGAACTCCTGACCTCAGATGATCTGCCCCCTTAGCGTCCCAAAGTGCTGGGATTGCAGGCATGAGCCGTTGCACCCAGCCTGACTAAAATGTTACATGGTGTGTGACTGTATCTGCCACACATGGTTGTTGTAAGGATTAGACACGAGAGTGGGATCAAGCCCCAGGCGCAGTGCAAGCTGTGTGGGTACTCAGTGAATGGTTCCCTGTGTGCTAATGGGGCACACACCTGTGAGGGTGTGGTGGGCTTCTGTCAGTAAGGGGTGACAGTGTGGTTTAACTGACAAAAAAACAAACAGTAGAAAGGGTGAAAAATCAATTATTGTCTTAGCCAGAAAATTCTTGTACTTAATATTGAGGGTTGACAACTGCATTACTTTAAATCGGTCCATGTCTGTTTTTTGTTCTTTCTTTCTTCCTTCTAATTTTAGTACTGGGAAATTTGGTGCTTGTTTTATACCAGGACTCTGTAAGCAAAGTGATCTAACGTTGTATGCATCACGACCCGGGCTCCGGCTGTGGAAGGCTGATGTCCACGGGACTGTTCAAGCCACATTTATCTTAAAAGATGCTTTTGCCGGGGGAGTCAAGCCTTTTGAACTGCACCCACGTCTGGAATCCCCCAACAGGGGAAGTTGCAGCTTACCCGAGAGGCACCTGGGGCTTGTTTCGTGTTTCTTTCAAGAAGGCTGGGTGCTGAGTTGGAATGAATATAGTATCTATCTCTTAGACACAGTCAACCAGGTAAGCGAAGGGACGCTGCCCTATCTTCGGTGTCTGTAGGCAAGGGAATGTTTCTCTACAAACTGTTCTGCTCAGCGCCCTCAGAATGCTACCAGGAGCAGTATTGATTTACACTTTACTTTTTCCTTTGGGCCAGTCAAGGAAATTAAATGAAGGTTTGGTTATTTTTATAGATTTGAAAAAAAAAAAATTTGGTTTTGACATTTAGGTCCAATTCGCTGTCAAGAAATTATGTATGTTTTTTGTATGTAAACACATTAAACTTGTTCTTTTGTTGTTGTTGTTGTTGTTGTTGTTGAGAAAGAATCTCACCCTGTTGCCCAGGCTGGAGTGCAGTGGCATGATCTCGGCTCACTGCAACCTTCACCTCCCAGGTTCAAGCAAGTCTCCTGCCTCAGCCTCCTGAGTAGCTGGGATTACAGACGCATGCCAGCATACCCAGCTAATTTTTGTATTTTTGGTAAAGACAGGGTTTCACAATGTTGGTCAGGCTGGTCTTGAACTCCTGACCTCGTGATCTACCCGCCTTGGCCTCCCAAAGTGTTGGGATTACAGGCATGAGCCACCATGCCTGGCCTTTTTTTTTTTTTGAGATGGAGTCTCCGCCTCCCGGGTTCACGCCATTCTCCTGCCTCAGCCTCCCCAGTAGCTGGAACTACAAACACCCGCCACCTCACCCGGCTAGTTTTTTGTATTTTTTAGTAGAGACGGGGTTTCAC